GTGGGTTCCTCGTCATCGAATTATTAGACTATAGTCCTTCACCAAGAGGAGAGTGATACATCTTCCACATGCAGTAATCCCCATGAGCACTACTATTTACTAGATGTGTTTTTCTCAGGAATTCTGACACTTCTCAACAGGAGTCATCCAATACTGTAATGTTGACTGGAGTCACTTTTATAGACAGTGATGTTACCACCATTGTGCACCATTTGGTTTGTTCCATTCTAATCTCAGATCTAGGATTCCCAATCTCCTGCTTCTGTTACTTCAGCTGAGCTTACCCCTTCTTTTGATAAGTTTTACCAGTGTTGTTTCTATGCTTGCTTTTTCTTCTAGTTTCCTCTTCCCAACAAAAATGAGGTAATTCCACCTTTTTCTTTCATTGCTTATGTATCTTTTTTCTCCACTTGTTTTTTGCTGAATCTTGGGCTAACTTGTTGAATGAGCCCACATCACTTTCAGCTTGGTGATCCCCTCTTTGCCTTCTTTTTCTTTCTCTCACTCTTCATTTACTCATTGTTATATCTTACTTATTTACCTTTTTTTACACTATCTGTCTATGCTTCACCTTTTTTAGAGGCTTTACATCATGACTGTGTCAGTTTTACTGAGGAAACCTGTTTGTACCTGTTTTCCATCTTGCTCTTGATTTTCTTCTTCCACTGTACCTCAGTTAACTTGGTTTCTTTGTTTTTGGATGCATTTCATCAGGTGGCCTTACTTTCTGGTGTTTGCCTCCCATAATCTTCTTCCAGAGACCTGTGTGTTGCACCATTTTATTGTGGTAAGGTTTTTTTTTGGTTTTCTTATGCTTTGAAATCTTGAGCTGATGCAGCTCTTCAGTAGTCATCTCTGTTCATTTTGGTTTTTGCTTTTTTGGATCAGAGGTCCCCACCAGATTTATCATCCTCTACAGCCTTGTGGGGTCGCCTCCTCTCCTATTCCTAGTCTTTTTTTGTTACTATCCAATGTCTCTCCTCTCTAAGGGCTGGCTGGCTGGTTGGCTGTTGTAGGTCTAAACTCTTTCAGTACAGGCTCGGTCCCTGGACCTCATAACCATTTTGTGCTTGTTATAGTTTTCATACTATAACTTTTAAATTAGTAAGCGAATGTTAATGAAATTTGTCAGATTATCAGTAAACATTACAATGCTTTTATATGTAAAATATAAATTTTTTTATTTAGTCTTAAGGTTTGTAAAGCAATGTTTTTCTCATGCCTTTTTTCTTTTCGCATGTTGCCTATCTATCATGCAAAGTAGTTTTCATTTTAAGATTAAAAATACTTTTATGCATCAGAACATTTCCAAATTTCACATGCGAAACCTTTATAATGTACAGATAGTTATCAAATGATTCTTACGAAAAAACTTTGTACTTTATCTGTTATTTTCAGTAATTAATCTCTGTACGGGTTTGGTAGATTTGACCGATCTCACAACCACCATATAAAAGTAGGAAATAAACATAAATTATGCCTCTTTCATTCTAGAA